TTCTGTAACCTCTTAGTTCAGCTATCTATGTCTCTGTGCAATATGTCAGCTCTTCCAATGGGAGGGGAGAAGCAGCCTCTGTTCAGTGGCAGGAGTTAGGGTGGGGTCAAGGGCGGGAATGTTCCCTGTGCCAGGTGTCACAGCTGCTTCTATCACCAGGGAGGTGCCTAAAGGAAGCAGGGAAAGGCTCTCTAGCTATGCCTGGGTGAAGGCACCATAAATCCCCTTTGAGAAGACTATCTGCTTAGATACCAGACCCCCTTGCAGCTGAACAGGTCTTACCTCCTGATTCTCTATGCTGCTCGGAGGTGGAATAAACCATTACGAAAGCCTCATTTTTTGTGTAAAAGACTGGCAACATGGGCATTTTGTGACCCTGGAATTCCTATAAGAGTCAGACATGCTGTACACCTCTTTCAACTGGCTCACTGCATGTGGGACTGAGACAGCTGCACACTGGTATGTAGCCTGATATCTTCCTAGACCTATGTTACCAGTTGCATTTTCTCCTATATTCAATCTGAACTCCTCAGTTAGCCTCCTCAGTTAGCACCACCTGGTGGAGAAAAACAAATGAGCGCTGAGATTTCAGCAATCTCCTTATATGCAGGGGATGATATCACTAAAAAGTCTCAGTGTGCTGTCTCCATCTGCTAGCAGGCAGAACAGTTCCCAAGCATCTAGCTTGGCCAAGATAACTGGAGAGAGACACATTCTACTACCTGTGCTCCAAAATCTGCTAACTGGATTTCTACGTGTAGTTTAAAGTTTTCATTTTGACCCTAACTGTTCTGCATCCCGATTTCGCTAACTGTATAATATTGCAGCAGTTCTCTTTATTATTGTGGGTTCACTTGTTTTGCATGCCCCAGAGTGAATGTGCTATGAAAGAAGTGGGAAAGGTTGCTCTGCTTGCTTTTTTTTTTTTCTCTTTTGTTAATTGCTCGTGTTCTGTCTTTCTTTCTAGCCTTCACAGAAAACTAGGAAAAGGGTAAATAAGTAAATGCACACACCGATGTAGAAAGTGCTGTTGAGGACTGCCTTGCTACTAAGACTGAAAGAACTAAATTAATAAACCCTGCTGGAAGCACTGGTGCAGCAGATTAGCAAATGGGAAATGGAGGTACAAGAAACTATAAAAGCCAGATACCTCAGGAGACCTATTAGTCAGGGAGTCTCTGGTTCAAGGCTTGCTAGAGAGCCTGACATTACTGTATACTAAATCCCTCTGTAGGTTATACTGTAATTTATAGTGATCTTCTGCATGTTTTTGGGGGGAGGGGAGTAACTTTCCACAAAGTGAGCAAGAACTAATTTACCTTTGATTTCTTTACGCTATGTGGATAGACTGTATTTTCTTTACAGCCTATCCAATGGCACAGTGTCTATGACAACCCAAAAAGAATGGCATTCTTGATTCTGGAAATAATTTCTCTCTTTGGACTTCCAGAAAGGAGATATGACAACTTACAGAGAACGCTGCAAGGCTCATGTTTTTCCAGGGTTTTCTAAGTAAGAAGAGGATGTTGGATAGGGATGACTATTAAGTAGTGTTTGGCCATATGGCTTGGAAAAGTCTCAGTTGGCACTGGACAACTGTATTGTTTTCTTAAATGTGTTTAGACTTGTTCTGACACATTTTTAGAAAACTAAATAAAACAAAACATCCCATCCATAGCACAACAGGGTTATGAAACAAGGCGAACTCTGAACATGAGAGATTGTAATTATGGAAGACATGTCTTTCCAGCTAGCCACAGGTGTACATTGCAGAAGCAGGTAAAAATTTGTCATTCATGAGAGAAGTAGCTATGATTTCTGCAGGATATATAGTAAGTGAAAGAAACTGGCCTACATCGGTTGGCAGAAGAAAAACAAATGTGTAGTTAACTATATCTGTTGTGACAATTCCTAAATAACTTTTACTGTGTTTCTAAGTTTTCCCTTGATCCTCTTTTTCATTATAACAAAAACTTATTTGATGTGAAATGCTGCTGTAATCTGACAATTCACAAGCACCTCTATATCAGCAGCAAATGTAAAAGGAAGAAAAAAAAACTGTGAAAACTAACTGATCTATTCAGTTTTCAAACCTAAACAGCAAAGAAATATTGAAAACGTACCTCAAAATGGTATTTCAGCAATATGAGCACCAATAAATAGAACATCAAGCAATTACATGATACATTGTTGCCATAGGAAAATACTGCCACAGACTTCAAATTCAAAGACCTCCATATCACTCAGGATAAATTCATATCTGCTAAGGAGTGACTGAATTCCTTATTTTTGTATTTCTGGAATATCATCATCTTAGGACAGAGAATGTACAAAACAAAATCAAGACAAAAATAATGGAGTTATTTCTTCTCAAATATATAACTGTGAAACTTCCCCAGAAATTCAACTGTGTCTGCTTACTGAACACATTTATAAATTGTTCTGAGAGTACTTTTTAACTCCTAGCTACTCTGAGTTTGTTCATTTTAGTTTGATATTGGACAAGAGCAATTGCATAAATCTCGTAGCATTTACCATTTCCTGTGGTCTAACATATGGCAATTGCCTCCAATATCTTTTCGAATACAATCACAGGGTACTTTGGACAGAAATACCTCTACAACTTAGTTTCCTATCTAAAATATTTCTGTCAAAAACCTCAAATTAATTGATTTTCATAACCAATTTGCAACAAAGAACAGTTAAGAAGTTTGGTGCTTTCACAGTCATACAACTTGCATGACACGACCACAGCCTAAGTGTTCAAAAATATTGAGTAGGGACCCCAAAAACACCCATGAGATTTTTTGAAAAATCTTAATCTAATTCCCCCTGCCTTCCCCAAATATCGGTGTGACATTTACAGAGTAAAAATTTTACTGTAAGTGCATTCAAATACAGGCTGCAGCTCCCCTGTATATCTTCTTTCTCCTGGACCCCAGTCTGCCTTGCTCCCTTGATTCCCACTTTGATAGGCTCCTTTAGCCCCCAAGAGCCACACTGCCCCCTGGCAGGCTCCAGCAGCTGTCCTCTCTCTATAATCTATGGAGAAAGGGGCTTACTACCTTAACTCTGTTAGTTCCCTCCTTCCTGCAGTGTGACTGGGGAAAAGGACAGGATGAGGTGTCCTTTTCCCCAAAAGGATTCTGCTTCTGAGCTTGGGAGTGTGGGAATGGGCTACTTCCAGTACCACCAAAGACAAATGCCCAAATGAGAGTCAGACCCCGCAAAATCACGAAATTTAAAATAAATTCAATTCAATCTCAGGTTCTTTTTATTTGCCTTTGGGGTTTTGTGCCTTTAGGGAAATACTCAGGTCACATTTTCAAATTTTTTCTCCCCAACCACAAGAACTAGAAACGTATTCTTTGTTTTTAAATAAAGGTTGAGATTCTAATCTAATTAAATACCCCCAGAAGCTGAGAGTTTAAGGAAAACACCAAATGTTGTCAGACTTGCAATAAGACCATGACAGCTGGCAACACTGTCCTGCTCTGCCTGCTCCAGGGCTCTGCCATGCTCAGTATGTGTAGTACTACCGTACTGCAGGCAGCAGCTACATCTACAGTTACAGCAAAATGTCCTTGAGCATCCAAATTGGGAAACCGCAAGCAGTTTCGACAAAATTAAATTAAGTCAGGCTGCAACAGTAATATTCATGATATCTCAAACATTGACAACACTGTGAGGGTATGTCTACTATAGCTGCACAGATTGGCACTGGAGCTATGCTGCTCTAGCATAGAAGCTTCCTACATCAACGAAAGGGGTTTTTCTGTTGATGTAGGTGTACCCACCTCTCTGAGAGGCAGTAGCGAAGTTGATGGAATAATTCTTCCATCAATCTAGATGTGGTTATCCTAACTATGTTGCACAGGGCATGCAATTTTTCACAGTCCTGAGCAATGTAGCTAGGACGACCTAGCTTTCAAGTGTGGACCAGGTCTGACCCACTCTGTTTGCCTTTTCAGAGTAAATACCTCATACAAGAATGCACCCTGCTTTGCCTAACATATGTACGTAACAGGCATAGTGGAAAACAGACTGACAGGTATCTATCAGAGACTCTGAACGAATGGATCACCACTGTGAGAAAGAGATTTACAGAACCCCTAACAGGGAGTGGGAAGGGAGAAGCAAAATTGCCTCTTATGTCCTCACCAGTAGCTGGAGCGGAGGAAGAAAGAAGAGGGAAGGTGGATGAGAGACCATCCTCTCACACACTAGTCCCAATAGTCAGGAAGGTAGGTAGCCTTCATGCTTCCATCTGAAGTGAACATGGTGACTTTGCAGGAAGGTCCAGGGTATTCATTTAGTTTTTCTATGATTTTTGTTTCTTACCATGTGGCTTATCAGGGAGCAGAAGAGCAAGTAAATGTACACCAAAAAAATGCAGTACAGCAAATGTGAAATATACCTGTTTTTAACCTACATGCAAAAGATATCTTAAAGAACATGATGATCGCAAAGTCAAGCACTCAACACATAGGAAATTCCCAAATTAAGGTTGCCTGTGCAAGAATCTTAGGCTGTGCCTGAAACATCTAGCACGAGGCCCTGCTACCTGCAGAAATAGAAATCTATTCACATGATATGAAGATTTTTACCAGTGATACAAACAAAAAATAATATATTTTAAGATTCAGATTTCATGTCTCCCTTTCCTCTCTCATAGTAAGATTTTCAGTAAGATTCATCATACTGAGAAAAGGAAAACAGTAGATAATGGTTGCTGAACAAAAAGTTTTTTAAATTTTGGCATATGTAAACATTTCTAAATTTGAGTTCTGCACCATAAAGTTGCTAATGCATCTGCTTTCATGTTCTCTAAGGAAGAAAGAAATTGCACATGTTCAACTTACAATACTATCATTGCCACATATAATATTTGGTATTTCTTACAGTAGTTTTGATCATAGTCTCTTTAATTACCAAAGGTAAAAGGCATAATTACACAGAGAATGAGTTTGCAGTGTCCCCATTAGATGTGAACACCTTACCTGTTTGGGTTAGGGTCTTACTGGGATGATGCTGTCCACCTGCTCCTGGCTGTGGAGGAGGACTTGCCCCTCCTTGTCCAGTACCTTGTGGTGGGCTTGCGCCCGTCAGAGTTCCAGTAGGCAGTGGCTGACCTCTCTTTAAGAGCTGCTTCTGTTCTTGCTGGCGGAAGCGTGGAGGCACCTCACGAGGCAGGTAACGGGATGCAGCTGGCTGCTGCCCATTAGCAGATGCACGCTTGCCATTGCTGCTGTTGGTGATAGTGCTGGTGGAAGTACTGGTACCGGTACCGGCAGGCTGGGGCTGGCTTAAACTGGTCTTAATAGGTTCTGGCACTGTATAAAATGAAACAAATATTAGTTTAATCCAAGGAAGAATTAAAGATCATTTCTTCAAAACGAGTGGGTAAAAGAAATTATAAAATTTAATCTTAGAAACGCAAAGTAAAATACATACAAGAATTATATATAAAATATATAAAGAAACTTCTACGGAGAAAAATGTCAACATTTGTTTAAGGAATAAACAGTTTTATCCAAGTTTCTGTTAGGAGGGATAATAGTATAAAATTGACCAGGGCTTTTCCCTAAACAACAATCCTGAAGCAACAAATGCAGGAACAAACAGGATAATACCAAAATTACTTTACAAGATGAAGAGGTTACGCACCTCGTGCAGTAACCGTGGTTCTTCAAGATATGCCCTCTATGGGTGCTCCACTGTAGCTGTATCCACATTCCTGCATCTCAGATCAGAGATTTTAGGTAGCAGTGTCCATCTGGGCCCGCACGTGCGCTCTCCCTATCTCATGCCTTGCCTCGAGGCTATCTAGCACTGTGTGGACAAACCATCCTCAGTTCCTTCTCTACCACAAAGACATTTATTAAGAGCTCCAAAGTAGAGGGGAGAAGGGCGGGTTGTGGAGCACCCACAGGGACACACATCTTGAAGAACCACTGTTACGGCACAAGGTAAGTAACCTCTTCTTCGAATAGTGTCCCTATGGGTGCTCCACTGTAGGTGACTGTACAACAGTATCCCTGATGGAAGGGTGGGACTTCAGAGTCAGTACTTAAAGAGTTAGTACTGATGATAATACTGTGGATCCAAACACAGCATCTGATGCTGAGTTATAGATGATTGCACACTGTTCTGCAAAAGTATGAGCAGATGCCCAAATTGCTACTCTACATATTTCTGTGATGGGAACGTTTTTAATGAAGTCGAAACAGATCCTGTGGAATGAGTTTGAACTCCAGACAGAGGCTGAAGATTGTAGGTGCAATAGGAAATGCAGTTAGATATCCATCTAGAGTCTCTGTTTCAGGATTGAGGATCCTTTAGACCTCTCTGCAAGCAAAAGGAATAGTTTTGGAGATTTTCTGAAAATTATTGTTCTAACCAAATAGAATGCCAAAGCTCTCCTGACACTGAGTTTATGCAATATTGCTTCTCTCTTGGCATGGTGTGGCTTTGGAAAGAAGGTTGGGAGGGAAGTAAGTTGGTTTATGTGGTGTCAGTGTGACCTTATCACTAAAGAAAATTGTGAAGGGTGGGTGTGCAATTAGAGCCTCTATTTCCCTGATTCTCCAAGCTGAGAAGATGGCTACTAGGAATGTCGTTTTCATAGACAGAGGCATAAGTGAGCATGTGGCCACTGGTTCAAAAGGAGGCTTTGTAAGGCACTTGAAAACCAAGTTAAGGCCCCATGTTGGTGTAGGACGCTTGATTTGTAGGTGGTTACCCATACCCTTGAGGAATCACTGTAGGATAAGTGAATTCGGAATAGCCATCTATCTTATGATGAAAGGCTGTTATGGCTGTGAGGTGTACCTTTATTGAATTTAAAGATAATCCTGACCTTTTTTAGATCTAGGATGTAGTCTAGTACTAGCAGGAGTGGAGAGGATATGGGGGTAACATGTTTTGAGTCACTCCAGATTTGGAATCTTTTCCACTTCTGCATATACATGTGATGAGTTGTTATTTTTGTGCTATGGAATAACACCTCTTTCACACGCTCTGAACAGGAACGCTCCATGTTTTCGAACCATTGAGGAACCATACCTTGAGTCACAGAACCTGTGAGCTGGGATGGCAAATCTGGCCGGCATTCTGAGAGAGGAGGTGAGGAAGGGACTGAAAAGTGATTGGGAGGCACACTGCTAACTGAGTAAGGTATGAGAACCACATTTGGGTTGGCCACGTGTGAACTAGGAGAATAACTTTTCTTTTCTTATCTTGAGCAGGACCTTCAATATGCGAGGAATTGGAGGAAAAGCATAAAGGAGATCTGTATTCCAGTGAAAGAGGAAGGCATCTCGTAGTAAATGATGTCCCAGACCGGCTCTGGAGCAATACTGGGAGCATTTTTTGTTTTGGTCTATTAATAAATTAAAATAATTAATAAAATAAGTCTATTTTTCAGACTCTCCAATGACAAAATACATTGTGGAGAACAACAGGGTCCATTTCCCAGTCATGTTCCTGCTGAGGGTGTCCACTGTGGTATTCTGCACAGCCAGCAGGAAGGCTGCTGCTATGATGCTGCTGTGCCAAACACACCAATTCCATAGTTTCACTGCCTTTGCACAAAGGGATGGTGATCTCACTACTCCCTGGTGGCTTATGTAGAACATTCATGCTGTGTTGTCTGTCATGAGTTTTATATGTTTATCCTTGATCAATTATAGGAAATGTCAACAAGCATTCCTGACCACCTTGAGCTACAACAGGTTGATATGTAGTGTTGATTCTAAAAGGAACCATTTGCCTTGAACCATGTGATTATCTAGATGAGCTCCCCAGCCACGTAAAGATGAGTCTGTTGTCAGTATCAGTGTTGCAGGTGGCTGAGTGAAGGGGACTCCTATGCAGACATCCTGCAGATCTTTCCACCATTTGAGAGAGTCTTTGACCATCAACAGCAGTTTATTCAATCTGTCTCTGTTTGGTGTGTATACCGTTTGGAGCCATGCCTGAAGGCAATGCATGTGGAGACTTACGTGACTTTTTATAAAGGAGTTTACTGCCATGTGCCCCAGTAGTAGCTGAAGGCAATTTCTGGCCAATGTCTGGAGGCTGATCTGAATGGCATTGATTAAGATGCTTAGGGTGTTGAACTTGTGTAGTGTGAGGAAGGCTTTGGCCTTCACCACATTTACACAGGCTCCCATGTTATACTGGAGTCAGAGTCAATTTTTGAGTGCCAGTTGTAGTCCCACCTGCAGGAATACATCTATAGTCTTTCGCTTGGCTACCAGGACTTCATCAAAGGATTGAGCCTTAAGTAGACACCCATCTAGATACAGATATATCAGGATTCCTAGTTTGCGAAGATGGGACACTACCACTGATAGGACCTTTGAGAACACTCTGGGTACAGATAAGTCAAATGGAAGTACGCTGTATTGAAAATGGTCTTGACCTGAGGTGAATCTCAGGAACCGCCTGCGGGATTGGTTGAATCACAATATGAAAATAAGCACCTTATAGGTCAATAGTCAAGAACCCTGGTCCAGAGATGGAATTACTGTTGCTAATGTAACCATCTTGAATCTTTGTGCCGTTTCATATTTCTTTAGTGACCTCAGATCCAGAATGGGTCTCCATCCTCCATTCCTTATGGGTATCAGGAAATATTTGGAGTAAAAGAAACCCTTCCCTCTGTGCTGATTTAGAACTGGTTCTACATGACCAGGGTTTAGGAGATGATTTATTTCCTGACATAACAGGCACTCATGAAAAGGGTTCCTAAAGAGGGACAGGCAGGGAAGAGGGAGGGAGGGAGGTAAAGTGGATTGAATAACCATTGGAGATGATCTCCAGTACCCACTTGTCTGATGTTATCTTTTCCCAGTTTTATCGAAAAAGTCTAAAAGGATATAGCTAACTCTAGTTTTGCAGCAATTAATAGTGAGAGTGGGAGATCTGGGCCTCAACCAATGTCTCAAAATTGATGTTTCGACGTTGAGAGCTGTACAGTTGAAGTTGGGGGGGAGAGGGGCTATTAGCTTTTGGTTTTGTATCCATTGTCTTTTCCTCTGGGATTTGTAGTGTCTCTGGGGTGGAAGGAACTGGGCCAGTCAATCTTTGTGATGCCTGTGATTCGCTGTACTTTATTTTCTGTGCAGGTATGTAGATCCCCAAGGAACATAATGTGGCTCTTGAGCCGTTTACTGTGTGGAGAAGAATGTTTTTTCCACAAAGAGTATGGATCCTTCTAATGGAAGGTCTTCCACAGTCATTTGGACTTCTCTTGGGAGGCCTGAAAGGTGATGCCATGAAGCTCTCCTCATTACTACCGCAGTTGATATGGAGTGAGCAGCTGTATCTGCAGTGTCTAATGTGGTCTATAGTGCTGTCCTTGTCACAAGCTGGCCCTCAGCACTGATGGCTTGTAACTGTTCTCTTTGATCATTTGGGACATGTTCAATAAAGGCACTGATTTTCACATAATTGATATTGATTATATTTTGCCATCAGGACCTGATAATTCACAATCCTAAACTGCAGGATTGCTGTTGAGTACAATTTCCTGCTCAATAAGCCCAGTTTTTTCCAATCCTTGTTGCACGGTGTTGATTTAGGGTGGTGCTGTCTGCCAGGATCAATTACAGCATCTACCACAAGGAAATTTGGGTCCACATCTTTAGAGGGGACATAATATTTTTGTCTGCCCTTTTCCATGTGGGCGTTATCATGGCCAGTGTTTGCCAGATGATTTTATATGGATCTAGTAGGGCTTCATTGATCAGGAGTGTAGTAAGAGCTGATGAGGACCTATGGAGTATGTCCAGCAGCTTGTGTTGTGACTCCTTTACTTCGAGGGGGATCTAAAGTAAGTCTGCCACTCTCTTGGTGAAGTCTTGAAACTGTTTGAAGTCATCTGAGATTGATGATGGAGGAGGCATCACAGCTTCATCTGGATAGAATGATGAAATGTTTGTTGCTGGAATAATTTCTTTATTCAGTTGTGCCTCCTACTCCTCAAAGATCTCCTCTTGAGGATCATGGGGTCTAGAAAGGGAAGCTGAGGGAGATCGTTTTCCTCTATCACTATGAGAGACACCTGAGGTCCTAGAGAACTGGTGTCTATATGCTGCCCACTGGTCCCACTACTGCCACTGGAGTGGTGCAAAAGTCATGGGTGGTCCATACCCAACGTTGTCCATACCAAGTGGGCGGGCCTTCCCTGTCACGGTGACGTTGTGGCTCTGCAAGTGTTTCCAGGTGACTGGTCCCTTGACATTGCCCTGGGGAGCTTTGAACTGAGACCAAAGATATGTTATCATTGACCTCTTCTTCTTCGCTCAACAGAGGTGGAGCAGATAAG